TTTCTCTTTCTTGTGTAGACCAAGAAGTTTCCGATCTACGGTTCTGAAAAAGTTTTCTCCGTCGTCTCTGGCGGAAGAAACGGCGGCAAGGAGAAGGATTTGGACGGCGAGGAAGAAAATGAGCTTAGCCATGTGTGTTTCTTGTTGTGGTACTATGAATGGGTTTTGTTTATGTAAATGGTGTATAGAACTAGAAGGTGTGTGATGTTATTTATATAACTAGAGTTTTTTACTTTTTTTCTAGAAGAAATTATTTTTATATATTACTATTTGATTTGTGGATTCGTTGAAAAACATTGACTTGGAAATGGGAGATTTTTATTTTATTTTATTTATGAAAACTAAAGTTAAATAAGTGGGGGAGGTTGATGTGAATTCATTTGTGATGTTTGTGCAGTACTATCATAATTACTGCGTCATCGAGTCGTATGACTTACGGTGAAGTCATATTAACTTTTTTTCTTTCTATAGAATCTGAAAAGGAAATTAAATAATTTTTCGGATTAATAGTTTTCTGAATCAAATTTGTAGAAATATAATAGTTTTTTCTGTACTCAAGAAAGGTTGTGCAGTATAGTTTATTATTGGTCGAAAGTCAAATTTTAGATAATATATGTTTGACATTGGTTTAGAGTAATCATCCATGAACCATGAATCCATGATACACGTTATATTTTTTTTTCTACACCTAATTTCTAGATCTTGTTCGATTGATAAATCACCGTTTTTATATAGTACCAACAACAATCTATAATATTATTTATTTTTTTATATTCATGCCCATCATTATCATTAATATGTATTTTGCTAATTGTTTCATGACTTTTCGAATATTTGAATCGATTAGCCAATTAGTAAGTTAAACAGTGAAATTTGAACATAAAGAAGACCAAACCAGTCTTCCACTTTCCATTGTCGTGGGCCAATAATACTCCATTCCGTACGTTCAAACAAAGTCTTCTATATTGATTTTCGGGTAATCGAAACATGTATTTTCTACCGGAACCAAAATTCAATAAAAGTAGATTTGAACTAACGAAACGAATGATGAAAACGAATGTATATTCTATAAGTTATATTTGTAAATTCATGGGTAGGTATATGGCTAATCAAAAAATGTGGCCTAAAAATTCATACTAGTTGGAATTGTTGTAAATTTAATGTTAGACTTTTGAGGATTAGTCTAGAAGCATTC